AAAGTGTAGAGATATGTGATTTTTTTTTTAATTATAACAAAAGCAGCATTATCTCTCATGACTAATGCCTTGTGTGCTGAGCTTGTCATGGTTAGGGGAAGCTTTTAGCATAATTTTGAAAAATATGGCACTACCTATTGTCCTATGTTTCCGAATATTTCCTACAGCTGAAATAGGGGGTTAACAAGTAGCATGGGAGAAGGCTAGTTCTAGTCCAGGAACATTTGTGATGTGCCAGAAAAGAGCCACAAAAAAGAAACAGAAGCCGCTTTGTCACCAAGGTATCTGTGAAATTATTCATCCAGTTCAGTACTAGGCTGGCACTGCAGAGATGATGCCATACTTTGGTTTGCTATGTCACAGAGGACAGGACCTTGTTGCACAACACCCTTGCATTGCAGAGTGGTCTGTAGCAGTAAGAACTATGTTCTATCTCAGCATCATCGTGCTGGCATCACAGAATGTCATCCTGTCATGTTTTATAATCCTGTCAGCCTGATTGCACTGCCCTGACAGTGGCCCAACACCCATTGTGCTATTGCAATTTCACTGAGCTGTGTGCCTTGTCATCAGTGCATTAGCAGGTTGCAGCACTCTCGTGCTGACATTATGTTGAGGATTAGCAGTGTGATCTGCACAGCATCATTGCAATGAAGTCTGACAAAGGTGTGAGCTGCTTGTCACAGCTCAGCACAACTGCACCTGCATTTCCCCTCTGTGGCCAATAAGGGCACTCAGTCTAACTCCTCACCCATCACCTCTCTTGGGTGGGGACCTGCATCTCTCTCCATCCTGACCATGTTTTTTCCAGGCTGCACAGCTCCCAACCTATATTGTGACTCCCCTCAGAAAATTCAGGGACCCATCTCAGTAGGGCTGGGGATGGTGTCAGCATTGACAGTCTTTCCTGAATTGATGACTGTGTTAGAGAGTGTCTCAGCTTTGAGCTGGAATTCTCTCCATCCTTTGTCCTTCCTGAGGACTTCAGTCTCCTGGATGCTATCTTCAAGTGCCTCTTCCTCAGTACCCAGGAGAGCAGCTCAGCCCCGAAGGCTTAGCTGATGGATGCAGATGTTCACAGTACCTGCTCTGAATGAGAAGACTCTGAAGGTGGCTGCGGAGATCCTTCCATCAGAAGAAATTCAAGTCTGACCTCCCTGTCGTTCTTGGTTCTAGGCTTAAAGTCTCTGCAAATTTTACACTAATTACTGACAGTAGGTCCCTTAAGATACTTCAGGCAACTGGAGTGTGAGTCACTCACTGGCATTGGCTTTTTACAGGAGTAGCATGACTGGAACCCCAAGGATGAGGCATACCATGGCACCAGTACCAGTACCCTGCAATGCGTAACATTTGACAGACACTTGAAAAGAAAACTACAGCTGTATGTGCTGCCTTGATGTGTACTGATGAGGGAAACTCTCTGACAACTGCGTGATGGGTGTGTGTGCTCTAAAAGGGGAATGGACATATGCAGTCACTCAGAGAACATATCCCTTGACCCAACAGTTCTTAAACGGGGCCACATTATCATATGTGGTCAGGGCCATCCTTAGATTTATAGGTCCCCACATAGTACTATGAAACTGCCCCATGACTGACTTGCTCTTAGCAACTGTGCAGCCCGAAATCATAGGGCTGCAGAAACCTGGTGGAAGGCAGGTACAGGGGGAGTTGGGTATGGGGGTTTTATGTTTCCTGAGTAGGCTGTCAGAGACTGCAGCCCAGCCATTTGGACACCTGAAGCCCATCTGGAGTCAGCCTGGAGGGAAGCCTGATTAGAGCACCTGCTGCCAGTTAAGACTTATGAGCACAATAAAAAGCTTCCCTCAGGAAAGGCAGGGGGAAGGAGAAAAAGGATGGACTAGAGGTAGGGCCTAAACCCTACCCTGAAAGCAGCAAGCTAACAGGGCCTGTTTGAAGACACCAGGGAGGAGGTACTGAGGGAGTGGTTGGGGAAGTGGCTGCTATTCAGTAAGCAAGGGCCAGGTCTCACAGCTCCACTTGGGGCTACCACATTGGGCCCTGGGCTTGACTCTGGAGCATGGGGGTTGGAGCATGTTCCTCCCTCCTCCTCCCGGCTAGTGGGATGCCAGCAAGGAAAGAAGGATCCTTGGACTATCAGAGGGACTGATGTCCAAACCCCTGACTTGCCGATGATGAAAAGGGCTTCTGGTGTGAGGTATCTTTGCCTTCTTGGCAGTGGTAGGGACACCGCAAGTCTCTGAGGCACACGCAAAGACCCCACCAGGAAGCACAGGAGCATAGCCCAGACTTGACACACAACATAAACATAAGCTTACAGTTAGATCCCTTGAGACACTCACATCTACACTGGAATGATTTTCTGGAAATGCTTTTAATGGAAAAGTTTTCTGTTAAAAGCATTTTTGGAAAAGCGCATCTAGATTGGCAGGACGCTTTTCTGCAAAAGCACTTTTTGTGGAAAAGCGTCCGTGGCCAATCTAGACGTGCTTTTGCACAAAAAAGCCCCGATTGCCATTTTCGTGATCGGGGCTTTTTGCGGAAAACAAATCTCTGCTGTCTACACTGGCCCTTTTGCGCAAAAGTTTTTTGGAAAAAGACTTTTGCCCGAACGGAAGCAGCATAGTATTTCCGCAAAAGCAGTGACAATCTTACATGAGATCGTCAGTGCTTTTGTGGAAATTCAAGTGGCCAGTGTAGACAGCTGGCAAGTTTTTCTGAAAAAGCGGCCAGTCTAGACACAGCCACTACAGGGTGTTTTTTTTTTTTAATTTTTAAAAATTTTTTTAAAGTGGCTTTTTTAAAAAAAAAAAAAAATCACCTGCATCTAGACTACTGCTGCATTCTTTTGAAAGCAAATTGAAAGGACACAGCAGTTTTTTTGACTGTGGAAAACCTCATTTTATGAGGAATAATGCCTCTTTTTAAAAGCGCTCTTTCAAAAAAAGGTGCTATGTAATGCAAACTGTGCTTTTTCGAAAGAGATCATCCAGACTGCCTGGGTGCTCTTTCGATAAAGTGGCTTGCTTTTTTGAAAGTACCAGTTGTAGTCTAGATGCTCTCTTTTGAAAGAAGCTTTCAAAAAAGCCTCTTTCGAAAGAGGCTTGCAGTCTAGACGTAGCCTCAGGTATTATGGTGAGGGCTATATGAAATGAAAATAGGAGAGAGGGCTCACCAGCTCTGGAGATTGGATGTTGAAGTAAGATGGAGTAGCTTGTGATGGGACATATCATAGGTAAGTGAATGTGGGGGGAAAGGAACAGAGGAATCTGGAAAGGGCCCATATCCTCAGGCAGGTTTGTGGCCATGCAAATACCTCTGTGTGTACACTGGTGCATTCAGAGTGTGGAACTTTGTAGTGAAACATTCCTTGAATGCCTAACCCTCTTCCACAGCTGTAGAATTTCAGAACTGACAGGGCTAGTCTTTCCCCCCAGTATCACCAATGCAGCAGTGCGTACCAGTCTGCAGAGAACCTGAAATAAATAGCTGAGAGATGTGACACTACCCCATTCTCCTTAATAGGTTACTAACTCTAAAGCCAACTGCTCTGGGTTGTACCTTGCCAACACAAACCCAAGCAAACGACAGGGTCACAGGATAAGAGGCTTCATGCTGCAGGGTGTCTAATACCCTGGATTGCATTAATCCAGAAGGGGATCTTGGAGAATGCCTGAAGGAGGGGAGCTGAATTCCTATCAACCCAGGAGGAGAGGGTCTCTCTCAAGCTGCAGTTTAGCAGAGATTACCATTTTATCTGAAAGTTGAGAGACCTTCCTGCTCTCTCCTGCCATTCCCAGCAGGCTCCCCATTCTGGGAGCATTCTGAAGGGTAGTAAAGTTTAATTACCAATTAGAAATAGAAGTTTTCCATTCCTTCAACCCCGCCCCCCAGCATTTTTTACACTTCCTTAGACTTTCATCTTTCAGGGCAATATCAGCCACCTCTACATTTATTTATTTAATTTTCTTTTATTAACTATACCCCCCTCAACCGAGCTGAAGATCTTATTCATGCTGCGAAGGTATATTGAGGCATCCTGGATTGTATGCACCCACAGTATTAGGCACCCTGCAGCATGAAGCCTCTTATCCTGTGACCCTGTCGTTTGCTTGGGTTTGTGTTGGCAAGGTACAACCCAGAGCAGTTGGCTTTAGAGTTAGTAACCTATTAAGGAGAATGGGGTAGTGTCACATCTCTCAGCTATTTATTTCAGGTTCTCTGCAGACTGGTACGCACTGCTGCATTGGTGTATAATGATCACTGTACTATTAGATTAGAAGGAAGGATGATCTTGTTGAGTCAGACATGGGATTAGGTTCTGAGTATGCCATAGGCTTCCTCTGTGACTTTAGGCAAGTTGCGTAGTCCCTTCAACAGGAGTCAGGCACCCAAATAGCTTTGAAGATCTCAGTCTGAAATGCCGTGTCTCAGTTTTTCATCTGTAAAATGATTGTTTGCCTTGTCTATATCAGTGTTTCTCAACCTTCTTTTTTTTTATAAAGTACCCCTTTTAAAAAAAATATAAGTACCCCCTTTAAAAAAATTGTAAGTACAGTTTTCAGACACACAACATTTTTTTTTCTACCATTGCAACACATTTGTTTAATCCACTTAATTGTAGTTGGGCAGGCAAAGACATTTTTGGGTGTAAAAAGGACAAAAATAATAAAGTGCTCTAAAACTTAAAACAAAAATTCAGTCTTCTACAATTTTCAGTTGTGTTGACACGCCCTCCAGACTTCTCTTGAGTACCCCTAAGAGTACTGTACCACTGGTTGAGAAACACTGGTCTATATGAACTGTAAACACGATGTAGCAAAGGCTGTTTTCTTCTAACTATGTGTAGCTCAGCTAACACAGTAGGACCCTAATTTCAGTTCTGGCGTCTAGGTGTGAGATAAGTAATAATAAAAACAATAGATTTAATACCCAAAGGGTGATTCCCTTAGAGGAACGCAGTGCTAAATTTTAATTCTTTATGATCTCTTTTGCTGTCTACTCAGAAAAAAAAAAAAAAAAGCCATAAAAGTACATCCTACATCTCTAATCTGACATACTGTGAAATTAAGTCAGAATACATTTATCAAGCCATATCAATCCTATACCGATCATATTAAGTATTATCTATTTGTATGTGGTGGGTCAGGGAAATAAAAAGCTTCCTGAAAAAGGAATAATTGTGTCTTGGTGTAATGATAGAGACACCACTTTTAAAAACCCATTCTATGATATATAATGACCTTGGAATAATCAGTCATACAAAATAAGAACTAATCTCATTACAGAATACCTCAAATCTGAATTTAGCTAGGCATAATTCCCACTGGAGAAATATCCTCTGGAGTAGTAGCTTCTTATGAGAGGAATGAATCTGAGACACACTTAGCGTATGTCTTCATGTACGGCAGAGCAGCTCTGCCACTGTAGTGCTTTAGTGAAGAGGTTCCTATGCTGGTGAGAGAACTTCTCCTATCGGTGTAGTTAATCCATCTCCCCAACAGGCTGTAGCTATGTTAGTGGCTTCATCATAGCACCCTCTGTCTAACAGGGGGATTAACTAGGTATAACTAGGTCGCTTCTGGGTTGTGATTTTTCAAGCCCCCAATCAACACAGTTATATTGATATAGGTCTGCTGTGTTGGTCTCTCTTGTACTATCAAGGCCCAATCCAAAGTCAACGAGAATCAGTGGGAGTCTTTCCATTAATTTCAATGGGTTTTGGACCTGTCCCCTGGAGAGCATCTTGCCAGGCTAAATATGGTATTTGAGTCAAAATTCTGACTACCTACATTTCTCTTGTTTCCAAACCTAATACTTACCCTGCCCAATAACTTGTATTTCACAAATTTCTTCTCCAATTTCCTCTCTTGACTTCTTCATTGCTCTCAGAATTCATGTGATAAGAGACTACCACACAAAGCAGATATAGGCTGGATCTCCCTGGTCTAGTACTCTTGGGACCTGACCAGTCCCAGATGAGGGATTTTGTTGGACCACGGGAGGTCATTTCTGGCTCCCCTGCCATCAGACCTTGCAGCCCTGGCCTGGCCTGCTGGCCTCCCCACCTGCTGCTAGGTCCCAATGAGCAGCTGTGCATTGCAACTCTCGACCACACTGGGCTACCGCCACTGCTGCTCCCAGCCTCGCCAGGCAGCCATGCACCAGGTATCCCAGCCTCACTGGGAGGCTCCATTGGCAGCTTGCTGTGGGCAGCCCCCTGCCCTGCTGGCCCAGCAGGGCTCCCTGCTGCTGGACCTCCACTGGGGCTCTCTGGTCCTGCAACAACCTTGCCAGCCAATGGATGTTGCTGGAGCACAGTCCTGGTTTAGAGAGTTTCAACTGTGGTGCCACTGGTATTTGCTTATCCCTATATTTCCACTGCTAAAAGAAATAAAATGGGGGCAGGCCCGAACCATGGCACAGTGGTTATCCCCTTTTCTAAAACATAACCCAAGGTGAAAATTATACACCACAGCACAGATAAAGTGATTTCACAAATTCAGACTTTTGGAAGGATCAAGAAATATCACTTTACAATATTTAGCTAATGGTACAAACACAGAAAGGAAGAATTACAAGAAATAAAACATCAAAAAATATCTAGTTAGCAGGGTTTGCTCTCACTGGAACATTTGTGACCAACTGGATCTGCCTTTTCAAGATCCATAAGTAAAGCTTTTAGAGGGCCCAATCTAATGTTTATTGCGTTCAACAGAAGTCTTGCTGTTGATTTCAATGTTATGTAGAACTGTGCCTACAGTGCGCTTCTACTTTGAAAAGTGTCTATATAAAAACGGCACCTTTTTGCCCCACATATCTGCTCCCTGCATGTGTTCAGAAACATAGCTGCTGACCTGCATAATTAAAGTAAGTTTGTACTGCTCTTTACTTGTCTTGGTACAGCAGGGCAGCAAAATGAATCTATGGGAGAGTTAGCTGGATTCTCTTCTAGTTTGTGCAACAACGTAATTGTAAACCAAGACCTGACCGCAGAGCTAAATTCTGACCACAGATACTCCTTTGAACAAAATGATCTGATTGTGCAAGCATAACTGAGTGCACAATCTGGACCACAGAATTTTTATTACCAATGATAATTATGATGTACAAATCAGAACTCAGATTTGCTCACATATACCACACTGACTCTGCAAGGCTAACAGAATAGCCACTTTTCAACTTGTAAATGGAGCAAATTTGCTCTCAAATCACTGAAAGACAATGAGCATGGGACCTCATAATACCATTTTTATAGAGACACTTTTCAGAGCAGAATCAGATTTGAAATAAAACCTTCTGTTGATATTTTCGCTTATGGCTCTCCCATCCCGGAATGCCAAACTCACCTCGGCACAACCTCTCAACACAATATGGAAGACTCTTGGAAGGCCAACCCGTTACACGAAACAACTGCAAGGAAGTTGAAGAAGGAAAACAGAATGGGTTTGTGGGTAGGATGGAGACAGGATGTGCAGACTCCTGACACTTTTCTAGGACAGCACGGTAATGGAATAGCTACTGGTGAAGCCCCTCCACATTATTCAGAAACTCTTACATTGGACCAGCAAGGTAGCGTTGGCTCTGGGAGAAGACGGGCTGAATGGATTTCTCAGATTCCCTCCCCTCCATTCACATCACTATATACACACACACACACAGCAGACAGCGAGGTGCATTCCAGCCTCCTACGGTTTTAATCTCTGCTGAATCCTCTGAAGTTTCACCAGAGATGATTTTTGGATGAAGCTTTTGTCGCTATGGGGCATCTCCCTCGGGTGAGCTTTCAGGTGCTCCACCAGGTCCAACTGTTCGCTGAAGGTCTTGTCACAGTCAGTACATTTGTAGACTCCCTTCCCTATGTGGCTTCTCTGGTGTGCAGAGAGGTGTGAGATATGAACAAGGCTCTGCTTGCTGTGGGGCCAAGGATCAGGCCTCTCTCCTGGGTGAGTTCTCAGGTGCTTGGCCAGATTCGACTGCTCGCTGAAGCTCTTGCCACAGTGTGGACAGATGTATGGCCTCTCGCCTGTGTGGGTCCTGCAGTGGGTGTTGAGATTGGAGAGCTGGCTGAACCGTTTTCCGCAGTGGGGACAGGGATAGGGTCTCTCACCCGTGTGGGTCCGGTGGTGCTTCCTCAGACTCGACTGGTCACCAAAGCTCTTCCCGCAGTCAGCACAGATGTAGGGCTTCTCCCCCGAGTGTGTCCTGAGGTGGGTAGTGACATTGGAGAGCTGGCTGAAGCGCTTCTCACAGCCAGGACATTTGTAGGGTCGCTCCCCTGTGTGTGTCCGCTGGTGCGTAGTGAGGTGGGATCTGTGGATGAAGCTCTTCTGGCAGTGGGGGCAGGGGTAGGGTCTTTCCCCCGTGTGGGTTCTCTGGTGCTTGGCGAAAGTCGATTGGTCGCTGAAGCTCTTCTGGCAGTCAGGACACACGTAGGGCCTCTCCCCGGTGTGGGTCCTCAAGTGGGTGGTGAGATTAGACTGGTCCCCAAAGCTCTTCTCACACTGGGGGCAGGTGAAGGGCCTCTCCCCTGTGTGGGTCCTCAGGTGGGTGGTGAGACTGCTCAAGTTACTGAAGTGCCTCTCACACTCAGGGCAGCTGTAGGGCCTCTCCCCTGTGTGGGTTCTCTGGTGCCTAGTAAGGTTCGAGAGGTGGCTGAAGTGTTTCCCGCACTCAGGGCAGGAGAAGGGCCTTTCCCCCGTGTGGGTTCTCTGGTGTACAGTGAGATGGGAAAGCCGACTGAAGCTCCTCTCACACTCGGCACAGGGGAAGGGCTTCTCTTCTCCATGGACTCTCATGTGTGCTGAGAGCTCCTGCTTTTGCCTAAAGCTCTTCTCACAGGCCCTACAGGTATACATTTTCTTTCCTGTGTGAATGATGCTCTTGTGGCTATTCAGGTCTTTCTGCCCCTCAAAGCTTTCCTCACACACTGGACATTTGCATGGCCCCTCACTCATCTCTGGCCTCTCTGGCACAAGAGGCTTGCGCAGTTCCCTTAAAGTCCTTTCACATTTCTTTGTGGTTCCTCCCTCATCTCTGGCTGTTTCTCCCTTCTGCTTTTGTGGCTTATGCTGCCTCTTGGAGATAGTTTCCTGGTCCGGTCTCTTGGAAATTTTCTCCTTGGATTTCCCCAATAACATTCCCAGCAGCTTCAGGTTCTCACAACCTTCTCTGTGATGCTTCTCAGTTCTGCTCAGGATCCCACCATCTGCAGGAAGGAGAAAATCTAGATGTGACTTCCTGTGCTGCTGGCAGAGGGAAACCACTCACCATTCTCAGCAGTACAATCTGATGGAGGCATTCCTCACTTCCCCCAGGATATTCCCCCAAAAGGCCCTTACTCCAGCTGGCATATTATGCAAGCGGCTATTGGAATCTTTCATGCCATACTTTTACAGTTATGCTGTCCTCCCTGTTGGAAGTCTTTTGTTCAAAGGGAGATATGTTGCAAGATGGGAGCAACAACATGATCTTAGAGTCCACTTCTGCATTAGTGGGAAATGACTTCAAGGGAAAGCTGTCTCTCTTCAAACTAGCTGTGCTTGGTTGCTTCTTTTGGCAACACACTTCAAAAAATACAACATGCTCTTAGGGAAGAATTGTGTTGCCTCATATCCTACATGCATATTTTGACCATGGGGGAGACAACTATGGGACCCTCCCATTGTGATGTTATCTGCACAGTTCAGTGTTGTGTTTCAGCATGAAAACTGGATCAAAGGAAGAAACAAATGCTAGGGACTGGGAAAGATGAATACTAAGGCTCCATTTCCTCAAATGATATAATCACAAACACAGAAAGATGACGGCAAAAATCTCTTCTGGCACGGTGCTAACAAAATCAATGGAATTACACCTGAAGACTTTGACTCACTAGGGGAAAGGAGGAGTGTGAATTAAAAGAGAGATGTGGGATGCTTGTCAGGCATTGGCCAAAACACAGTGAATCTTATTAAGGAAACCCAGTGCAGCATCTTAGAAAGGGTCTCTCTCTTCACTCTTTTACCTGAGTATTTTGAGAAAATGTGACTATCACTCACCTGGGGAGGGGCTTTCAGAAACAGCTCCATTCACTGATTCCTGAAGATCCATAACCCGCAGCTCTGATTCCCTTTGTTCTATTGGAGATATCCATTTTGGTTTTGGACTTTTATAGCCTATTTTTGGAAAATGAGATTGGGAGACATTATAGTCTGTTGTTGGTTCCCATGAGCTTATTATAAAAGGCTGTCAATGGCTTTACACCAGCACCCTTTGCTGGAGTAGATATGTGCTCTGCATAACTCCAAACATGCTAATGGAGGCCATAAGGACAGGGAAAGAAGATGATCCAGTGGACGGACACAAGTCTAGAACTTGGCAGATCTGGGCTCTTGCATAACCTTGTGCAAATGTGTGCCTCTGTTCTCCATCTGTACAATGGGGACAATAGCACTGCCATGCCTCATGGCATGTCATGAGGCTACACGCAGTAAAAATTGTGAGGCACTCATATATATGTTAATGGAGAGCAATGTAAATAATGAAGAGACAGAAAATCCAGATATTTAGAGCTGTGTGTACTCTGAACTAAAAGAAAGAAAACCTACATTTACCCAGTGAAGGCAACCTTGTACATTCTTCTCCATCAGGCATTGCTACAGCTCCTTCTGCCATTCCTTCAAAATCTCTCTCCTCACAGGAGAGGCAGAGGAGACATCACCAGACTTCAGCAGGCTCTGAAATGACAAGTATTACAATTTCAGCACCTTCTGCTTCCATCTTATCCTGACACCTGCAGCCCTAAGTCTCAGCTGGAGTAATGGTCCCCATGGGAGTAATTCACAGTGATAACTCACGGATAGAACAGAGGATTTATCTATCTCTTGGATATTTCATCTGTGATGTGGGTAATTTCAGCATTCTATAGGAAAGTAACAGGAGCTGCCCTTTTGTTCCCATGCAGATTAGGAAGTAAAATCTGAAGGGCTCTGGATAATTCCAGATGAATGAGAAGAAACAAGCTCCTTCTTTCTTTCCCTTTCTTCACTACCTTCCATCTGCTTCTGGGTGAATTCATGGTGGTGGTTTTTTTTATTTGTAGCGATCTCCCTCTTTGGAACCTAGCTACCTTAATGGCTGTGTCTCTGTTCATGCATCACCACAACATCTTAGATCATGTCTTCCTTTGCTTTTGTTACCCTTGCATTCCTGGGGACAGGGAGCAGGATGTCTCAGAGTAAAGTTTCACAGCTACAGAAATGCTCCTCTTCAGTGTCACATCAGAGCTTAACTTTACTGTCCTTCAGAGCACAGTGCAAGACACATCATCTTGGACAAATATTTCCTTCACTATGGACCATTAGCAGGTGGGTGTCTGGATGTTTTCTTAAATGATATCCTTAAACAGGAACTATTTCTGGGAAGTCCTTACACATGTCAGATTAGATGATGATAGTAGTCCCATCCCAAACTGCTCTTAAAACCTATGAATCATTAATAGTTGGCTGGGTCTATACAAGGAAGAGTGGTGCTGCACAGGTGTAGACATATTGAGGTACGGACCAATTTTGTTCAGCATAACTCTGCATACCTACTTTGCAATCACAGTCATGTAAGCTGAATAAGGGCCTCAGTTTGTACATGGTCTTGGGTTTCTGTCTTTTGGAAAATCAGGTTCTTAAATGTCAGAATTAATTTACTTTATGCTATGAACCCAGATGCTATGCTGCTGTGTACCTAAAAAAGTCAATAAACGAATAACCTTATATTTCTGCACTAGTTCAGTAATTACTTATTTAATACGTGCCCGCTTAACATGTTTTTGCAATAGCACAATTTTTTTTAAGGGAACATTTTTTGAACTGGACCGTCCCCGAAATAACACGAAAATAATCAAGTGTCCGACTATTTAGCATGGCGGTATAAGTTGGTGAAAACAGTGGTAATATACATGAGCAGATAAATACACATGGTCACAGTGCTCCTACACTCACTCGTTTATCTTTGTGTTTTAACAAATCGTGGTGACTAATGTTGATGTTAACGACCCACCAACAACAAAAAATTGTCTTTGCCACCACCACCTGCAATGCCACCCCCTCCTTTTCCATTATTTTTAATGGAAAAATTGACCATGCAGAGCATGTTTTCACTTAGCACAAACATTTTCAGAAACACATCTATAGTGTTAAATGAGGAATTACTGTATTATCAAAATGGGGGAGAGAGAAGAGAACACACAGAGCCCTTGGCATCGTATGAAGACTGTGACACAATGGTAGATGGGGTGGCAGATCCGGGGTGCACATAGAGCCCCTGGTATATGCCAGAGGTTACTGGGGAGGCCAGTATGGTGAGAAGGGAAGAAAGGGGAACGATCAGAGCCCAGGCATGAGGAAGGAGTAAAAGGGTTGCAGAAGGTCCCTGAGATAGAGGGGATGGCAGGGTGGGAGCTTGTTTGGGAGACTGGAGGGATGAAGGAGCTGCTGGCGTGTGCAATGAGCGTTGCCTACCCAAAATAAAAAGCCTGCAACGCTCCAGCTACCCCGACACTTTCCCACCCTTGTCTTCCATGAGCCAGGCCTTCCTCCTGCCTGGGAAGCAGCAGGGGGGACGGGACAAGCATTTCCTGTCAGTTCAGCGGGCAGCTCAGCCCCGCCCCTGCAGATGACCGGGCAGAGACGGAGAGGAGGAAAATGGAGAGGCGAGCGAGCCGGGCGGAGGGAGACCCCGGAAAGAGCAGCAGTGACTGCCGGAGCGGCTCTGGGCCCTGGGCCCCCCGCGCTGCCCTTAAGGAGCCACTCACTGGGCCACGGCCCTGCAGATGAGTGACCACGCGGCGTGCCGGGCGCGCTGCCCCTCTCCTGCCCGCTGGGTGACAGTCCCCGCGTCCCCCCGGAGCGCACCGCCCCCCTCTGCCCCGGCCGCCCGCCCCGCGCAGCTGGGCTCACGCACACGGTACCTGCGCCCGCCCGGAGCCCCCGGCGCCCCGAACGCCATCAGCAGCTGGCTGCAGCGCCGCGCGGCTGTCCCGGAGCCAGCTGGCCAGGCGCGGCGCTGCTGCCCTCTGCGGGGGAAGGGGGAGCTAGGCAGACCCAGGGATTCCCGAGCCGCCGCTCGCGGGAGAAGTGTCTGGCTGCAGCTGCCCACACGGGGCAGCTCCCGCCTCCCGCCGCGGGGCTGTAACTGCCCTGCGCGGGCCAGTTCGCTGCCCCTTTCCCTGCCAGCCCCACTGCAGGCTGCGATGCCCTTGTCCCGGCGGGGCTGTTTTGCTGGGATGCAGAGAGCTGCTACCCCTGGCACTGTCTGATTCCTACGCTCCTAAGGAACTGCTCCTGTAAGACATTGCTGCTGGACGTAGCACAGTCCTACAGGGAGCACTTCCCTACAGTTCTTTCTGTAGAACTGCTCCTTGTAGGAATGTGCTATTGGTAGCAGTTACTGACACACTGGATCGTAATAAAAAACTGCTATTGTAAGGCTTTGCTACCGAATGTAGCACAACCCTTCAAGGAACAGTTACATACCTATAAGTAAGAAACAGCTACTGTAAAACACTAGTACCAGGTCTAGCAAATTCCTGTAGACCTAGTGATTGTTACCATGATTCAGGCTTCTCTCCCAGTGCATAAGAATTACGTCTTTGTGTCTTGTTTACAACACTGATGTTGGCTTTTTTATGGGAGTTTTACACTGTTGACTCATATTTACCTTGTTATTCAAAGCACTTGCAAACCCCTCTTAATGTACTTACAATAGGATTATCTGGCTATATTGACTCTCTCAGACCCTATGCTGCCAGCACTCTTAGCTATCTTCCAGACACCGCTGTCTTCTTGAGGAAACTACAGAACATCAGTAATCTTCCTCAAAATACCATCCTGTCCACCCTGGACATAGAAGCTCTTTACACCAACATTCTACACAAAGAAAGATTACAGGCTATCAGGAACACCATCCCTGATGACACCACTGCACACCTGGTTACAGAGCTCTGCGACTTTATCCTCACCTACAACTACTTTCGATTCAGAGACAATTTGTATCTTCAAGTCAGTGGCACAGCTATGGGCACCTGCATGGCACCACAATATGTGGTCTTTATGGCTGACTTGAACAACATTTCCTCAGCTCTCACGCCCTAGTACCTTTACTTATGCTACATTGATGACATCTTCATCATATGGACCCACGGGAAAGAGATCCTTGAAAAATTTCACAGGGATTTCAACAACTTCCACACCACCATGAACCTCAGTCCGCACGAGAGGTCCACTTCCTTGACGCTACAGTACAATTACATGACGGACATATTTCCACCACCTTATACCGGAAACTTACCGCTACACTTACCTTCATGCCTCTAGCTTCCACCCAAGACACATTTCTCAGTCTATTGTATACAGCCAAGCCCTAAGATGTAATTAGATTTGGTCCATTTCACAGACAGAGACAAACACCTACAGGATCTATATAGAGCATTCTTAAAACTGAAATACCCACCCGAAGAAATGAAAAAACAGATTCTACAACCTATCCTGGAAAATGACCCTTCACTCTCAGAGGCCTCGGGGGGAAAGGCTAATTCTCGCTTACAGACAACCCCCTGACCTCAGACTAATTCTTTCCAGTAACCACAAAATGGTTTTGTCCACGAAAGCTCATGATACCATCTACATGTTTTGTTAGTCTTTAAGGTGTTACTAGACTATTAGTTGTTTTTTAAGTTTTTCCTGTTACAGACTAACTTGGCTACCCCTCCGTAGCTTTTTATCATTTTTATAGTTGGTGGAAATTCAGTAGTCTAAAGATAAAAGACACACAGATGCAGGTTAATGGTTATATATTTTTAAATTCCTTGGTCTGAGATTTAATATCATAAGCACATTCTTTTCTCCATTCTATTTAAATTAAACAGTCACATGTAAATTTGGCAGAAAAAGCCAGACTATTCTTTGAAAACATGGCAATTCTCAATACTGTACAAAAGTATTTTCTAAATAGCTCTTTCCAATTAAATATTATTTTGTTTTTCCCTGTTCTTAACAAAAGAAAATTGTCAAATGATAAACAGACCTGGGGAAACAGAAACTTCAAAAATCAGCAAATCCATATCCTGGTAAGCAATAAAACTTCTACGACAGCTGTGATGTACTATGAGTTGGCAGTTTATATTTAACAAAAATCTGATAGCTGTATATCATTTGGGGATTTGCGATGTCATTATATACTATTTATTAATCCATAAGGTCTCTTACCTTATTTTAAAACTATTTTTAAGTAAGTAGCAATATTTATTTTACTAGCCCTCAATAAACACTAACTTTTCAGACTGTCAGATGAACAGACATTGTTCGGCGGGCATACATGTACAGTAGCTCTTTTTGCTAACTTTATTGTTGAAAATACTTTCTCGTGGCAAAATATATTAAAAAATGAAGTGAAACGGTTTTATCATTCCAAACCAAATAGTTTTAAATTCTGAAGATCATTGTGTAAACTGAATGGACTAGTGATAAAAGTTTCTCAGAGGGGTAGCCATGTTAGTCTGTAAACTTGAAAAACAAGTAGTCCTGTGCACCTTAGAGACGACTAAAACATTTTCTGTTATAAATTCTGATAGTCTCCCTTTTTTCAGGCTGGATGTCCCCCATTCATCACATTTGATGTGGAAATGCAAATATAAAATTGTAATTTCCCCCATCTTTGATATTCACATCCATCCTGACTTAATCAGCTTCATTAACATTGGCCCTACAATAGACAGTTAATGGCTTTTGCTGTTATATGTGCCCTGGATTCTGTAATTTCCACTCCAACTCATCTGATGAAGTGAGTTTTACCCACAGAAACTCATGATCTAATATATTTTTTAGTCTATAAGGTGACACAGGACTTTAATTTGTTTATAAAGTTATAGACTAACATGGCTACCCATTTAAGACCATCAACTGGAAAAGAGCAACTTCATAGATAAACACATGTACAAAATATTCTACCACCTCCCTTTCATCCTAGCTCATGTGAAACAATTAGGCAAAAAAAAAAAAATTGCCTTTTTGCCTCTGAATATACTTGAAATATACATCAGTAATGATTCTTGGAAAGTCATTTCCTCCCAATTTTACAAAGCACCTGCTCCAAAATCAGGTGATGCGACCAGATCCACATTTATTTAACAAGAAAAAAATCTTTAAAATGCCTCCATAGGCTGCTTCCCTTTCAGTCGGAAAAACAAAAATCAACTAAGTCCAAGCCAAGCCTCTCAGCAGTTTCCCATACTTAAGTACATTCATAACTAAAATCTTTGATAAAGGAACTTTCCTCCCAGCTGCTGGGAGAGAGTAGATGCAGCTCTTCCCACTCCTGAGTATATCTGGCTCTCCATTCCATGTGTCTTGCTTTTGTCCCAGTTATAGGAGCATCTGTAGGGTGGTAGAGCATAAAGGGGCAGAAAAAACATTTTTCCTCTTTCTCATGGCTTCTAGATGTGGAATTTTCCCTCATTTTGGATCATGGCTACTGTTAAGAAATATTCTCTGAAAGTTACTCCAGAACATCTCTAGCCTCACAGCAGGTCTCACTTTACATTTTCCCTGTACTCCCCATTGGGCCTGATAAGCAGTGAGTTCATCATGTCTATGAGTCACATACATTTCAGCAGGGTAGGTTGATTTTAAATCAAGACCTTTTAAATCAGAGATTTAAACACTAAGTGGAAAGCCTTGATTTAAACTTTTGATTTTAATCAACTTTACCATTTCTGCATCAGTTAAGGCCTGGTCTACACTAGGGCTGCGTCTAGATTGGCAAGTTTTTCCGCAAGAGGGTCAGGCACTTTATTTTGTTTTTTCAAATTCCAAGATGGTAGCCTTTAATGTGGATTAATCCCTGTATTTTTGGACTCATTGTTTAGAAAATCGACCGTATGCAACCTTAAATTTGCTGTAAACTCCTAGGCTGCATCTAGACTGGCATGATTTTCCACAAATGCTTTTAACGGAAAAGCTTTTCCGTTAAAAGCATTTGTGGAAAATCATGCCAGTCTAGATGCAGCCTAGGAGTTTACAGCAAATTTAAGGTTGCATACGGTCGATTTTCTAAACAATGAGTCCAAAAATACAGGGATTAATCCACATTAAAGGCTACCATCTTGGAATTTGAAAAAACAAAATAAAGTGTTTTTTAAACTATAGAACTAAAGAAAAGGGTGTTAAAGTATCAGGATGAAGTTCATTATTGTTTTGCAATACCTAGATGGATATCTTTTTTTCCAAAATTGGTAAAATAATTTGTTTCCCAAGTTCCAGCAAAGATGTTGCTATAATTCAGCTCTGTGTATTCTAGAACAGTGTTTTTCAACCTTTTTAAATAAAGTACCCCTTTAAAAAAATATACATATGCCCCCTTAAAAAAAAAATTATAAGAACCCCCAGTATCTACAGTTTTCAGACACACACAATTTTTTCTACCATTGCAACACATTTGTTTAAACAACTTAATTGTAGCTGGGCAAGCAATGAAATTTTTGGGTGTAAAAAGTACAAAAATAATGAAGTGCTGTAAAACTTAAAATAAAAATTCAGTTTTCTCCAAATTTCAGTTGTGTTGATGTACCCCCCCCAGATTTCTCTTGGGTATACCTAGAGGTACTTGTACCACTGGTTGAGAAACACTGTTCTAGAATACCTCCTTTTCCTCCCTTCAAGTCATGTTTTATTTTTTTTAAATAGAAGATGTTATATATTTTCTCTGTTTCAGCTTTGCTGACGTATTACAAAGCTATTTTGTTCTTAATTTTTCAGAGGGGCAGCAGAGTTAGTCACATGTTTTGTTAGTCTTTAAAGTGCTACACAACTATTTGTTGTTTTTTAAGTTGTTCTTAATTGATTATTGAAAGCAATTTTGTTTTTATATTTTTGAGGGTTTAATAAAAATTGTTCTGTAAAGAAGTTTAATGTTGAGGATTTTAACACTGACTTCTCACATCCTACATTTTAACCTTTTACAAAGTGCTTCACACACTTGGTTATCCGTGTCTGAGTCTGTGACTTCCATAGTCCCATTTCTAGATTATAAGGTTTTCTTGTATCACTTCAAAACAAGAAACCAGATTCATCTCTGATGATACAGGCAAATTGTAACTTAGTGCTCCAGCTCCCCTTCTTTTGTTATTATCACATTAAAGGTTTCTACTGGCAGAGGCAGATTAAATCAGCGCTGTGGACTGCATAGGAACTCCATACACAGAAGTTGCCTTGGAGAATATGCTGCCTACTTTTGGGGCAGGATTAGATGGTTTCTTTGCACAAGGACGCTATACCTGGGAGAGGTTGACACCTTAATTCCAGGGCAGAAACTCTGCTGTTTGAGGCCCTGCATCAACATCTGGGTAAACTAGATATTAATTCATAGGGTCAGATTATTTCTTACAAATTGACATCCCTGTGCAAAGTGGGGCCCAGAAAACAGCTGGCTCTGGCCAGCTAAGAATTCCATTTCTATAGGGGTGATTTCAGCTGATGTAATTGTCTTTTTTTTATAACACCCTTGTATGGCCTTGGCGTAGGAGCAGTATTTGAGGGGTGAGAGGGAGTAGAGAAAGTAGAGAAGAGGCATGGCTTGCACATGGGTTTGCCGTTTGCACTGATAATCTTTGATGCTAGCTACTCTAATCTGTGCTGCAATGGTAAAGTTCAACCCAGAGGATCTGAAAAACAGAACTGGCTCCCTAACACTTTTGCCAGGCATAACTCAGTACAGGAAAGAGACGTAGGGTTCCTTTTCTTATTCTTTATATGATAATCACATGGTCATTTTTATTTTAATATAATGTGTGTCAAAGAAGAGATAATGTTGTAGTTTACAGTTTTCGAGCCAGGAGAATTAATGTTAATGGCATTAGAAAACCCCCAGCAGCAGCGGTCTACTCACCAGCCAGTGGCGCCAACCCTGGCAGCCTTGGTTCCCAGCAGCAGCCACCAGCCCAGCTCATCAGGCAGCCACAGCCTTGGTCCCCAGTGGCAGCTCGTCCACCACCGCCGT